GGGGGGGATCAAGGAGTCAGGCGAGGAAGAAAAAACACATTTCCAGAGGTGAGGCGGTCCGCTGCTACTTTATCAAGCTGTTTACAAGCTCCCAATAAATTCTGAATGAAATAAACACATGGAAATGAGCTCAGGCCCTGTTTTTATGGTGACAATAACTTCCTACAACACGGCTGCACGTCTGTGTTTTTCAACTGAGGCACAACTTGAAGGAAAACATTACGGCAACTTGGAATGTGAGGAGCATTCATAGGGGGGGGGGGGCAGGGGGATGGATGGAGGATTAAAAGGAAACATAAACAGCACAGCGAGGATATGAAGCAGTTCCAAGCGTGTGAAATCACCCTGACTCGTTTTCCTCTTCCCTGCAGCTTGTAAAGTTCACCGCCTTCCAAGTTGAAGCAATGGGCAGCCTCCCAGTGGTCCTGCTCCTCTGCGGTTTCCATGGTAACACCGCCAAAAAAAGAGGAAAAAATAAAACACGCACACACAAATGAGCTTGTTTAGTTATGGTTGAGTGGCTGCATGTTTTGTTTTTGACCCTCCCTCATCTGGTTTCTGTTCCACAGCACTCACAGCTGTAGTCCAGGCCCAGCAGACCGGTAACGTTCTTTTCCTCATAACTCACTTTTATCTTTTCTTTTTTTTTTAATCCAGATGATGAGTGACTCCTGTCAGCTGGAGGATATTTTTTCTGGCCTAATCTTGTTTCCTCTCTCTGTTTCTAGAGAGCCCTGGGACACATGGAGGAACCCCAGCTAGTAAGAGACTGCATGCTGGGAGGGGAGGGGGTTATCTCTGAACTTACTGTCTGACTTTTATATAACTTTTAATGTTGTTATGGGCTGTCACTCATTTTCACAGAGGGCCACATAAGATTATAGTGGCCCTCAAATGAGCAGTTGTAATTCACTTCGACCTTTCATGTTTAACTTCAACTAAACAAAAAGTTTTTTTTGTCTTGTTGCTACGAACAATCAATAATTGAGCTCTACGTGGTATTTCCTGCAAAAAAAACAGTGTTTTAACACATCCTCTTATAAATACTGAAAAGTACTATAACTGACTAAATGTGGAATAAATAATACAGAAATACTATTAAAAGTAAGAGTTTTACTCACTTTTGTGTTGTGGTGAAAAGTAGCTGCCATCTTGAATTCCGACATTGGCTAATTTTGAACCCCGTGCACCTCCATTTAGTGGTGGGATGCCCATACATGTCAACCCCTTTGAACTTTTAGCTGTGTCTTGACCCTCAAAAATCTGTAGTTTTCCCCAAAACAATCCGCACAACTTGACATGTCTGCTGTCATTTTGCAGGTAAAATAGTCAACATTTGGGAGATGCAATTTATGGTCAATGCTGACTTTAAAGCAACTTATTTTCCAAGACATCTACATCTTTGAAGAGGGCTACATAAAACGCTGTGGTGGGCCACATTTGGCCCAAGGGCCTTGGGTTTTAAATAATATAAAAAGTAACGGTGCAGAGGGTGCTGCAGCATTATCCTTGTGGGTGCTAGAGGACATGCATGTCCGAATACTGTATGTAGATAAAGATCTAAATTTGAAAACATAAATAAATAAATACAATAAAACAAATAATGAGTGCTGGGTATGTTAATTTCATTTTGAGTTTTAAAACCAGCACAGTTATGGTTTGTGGTGGATCTAAAGGTGTGGCACGAGGGGGCAGCAAGGTAGCAAAAATTATCAAAACAGGAAAAATTTTACATTTAAATCTACATTTATAGGTTCTCACAGCCATGGATTTATTTGATGTAAAGAGTTCCCTTGTGCCTCTGCAGACTGCAGGGAGGAGATGTATCCTTGCACCAGGATGTACTCCGTCCACAGGCCCACCAAGAGATGTCTCGGCAGACTCTGTCTCTACAGGTAATCTGAAACTGTCCTGGAGGTACAGTTTTATTTGGACCCATTTGTCAGCAGTGTGGTTTACTGTCTGCCCGCAGCAGTGAAAAGACACGAGCAATGTGATTAAATTTATTGGCAGCAAAATACACATTCTGCACTATGTGTGATTTCTAAAGGTTTAAGTGGGTTATGTTCTTTTATCATAAAAGTTTGCTTAACATGAATATAATAGATGAGTTTAATAAAAATGACTTTCTGTGATCATAAATAATAAATTAATCATATAAACACGACTGGATGGTACAAAGCAAACGAATAAATAAATAAATAAATAAACCTACCCCAGGTAGATTAACAGAGAATGAACCTGTTTCCAAATGATCTTGGTGAAATTCTATGCAGTTTTTCCTGCACAGAAACGCTTCAGCTTGGAGATGCTGGATGCTGATGATTCATCTCTTTGAATAAAGACACGACTTGTCCAAAACATTTGCCCACAGACATTATCCGTGTCCACGAGCATGTCTGTGAATGTTTTCTTTTTATGTTCAGGTTTAATAGAGAAATCCTCGATCATGTTTTGACCCGATTAGGCCAAAGCCATGACAGCACCACCTCTGAGTTTAAAAGCCTGAGAAGCTTCTTGTGTCAGAAATGTTCTAGAAACACTTTTTACAGAAACCAGCAGCCCTGTTGTTTTGTTAGCGTGAGCTTTGAATCAGTACAGCTCAGTGTTCCTGACTCATATATTTAACATTAGATTACAACCTAGAAGCTTTTATTTTGCTCAAACATTCTCAAAAAGGTTAAATTTTCAGTCTGACTCAGTACATTTCATTAAGATTGCTCCTAATGTTCTGGTTTTGTCCCGTTCCTGACGACAGCCTCCCCCGGATGTACGTGATTAACAACGAGATCTGCACGAGGATGGTGTGCCAGCAGGACGACTACCTGAGAGGTGAGACAGCTTTTAAAGTAACCCTGAAATTCAAAAATATATATATTTTTTTGTTTTGACAGCTGAGCTGTGCAGAGAGCTGTCCGGGTGGCCCAGGCGCATCGCAAGGACAACTATAAAGAAACGCTGCCGCAGTCACCGTGGCAACCCCAAAACGTGGGCAAACAAAGCCTGACGGTGCCCAGGATGGTGGTGCCTCAGCAGAGGCGACCATAAATCCATAAATCCAGCTCTCCGCAGCTCTGAGGGGCTTTCTTTCTCTTACCTACAGCCGTATGTGTCGAATCACATTAATGTTTAAATATTATTCTTTTTATATAGTGTGAATGTTTTACGTGTTGTCAGACACACATCATGCCTCTCATGGTTTATGATTGTTTTACAGTACTGTACGGGCCTGTAGCCGCACTGAGTCACTTCATCTGAAACAACAAAAAACTGTAAAAGACATGATAATCCAATATACTGTGCACTCTTTTAGCCAATAAAATACCACAAAATGTTTTTGAGCAATTCATTTACACGTTTATTTTTCAATCTGCTCTTTTAAAGAACAAACATTACATTTATTGTATTTAGTGTTTTTGTTTTTATATATTTGCATATTTTTTTCCATACATTTTTACACGTAACATTTGAGGCAAATGCATATAATTTGGACGATAAACAACAAACACTTGAACACTTGGTGTGTGTGTGCGTGCACATCAGACACGACACGTGTGCATGTGACACTGCTGAAAAGTTAACTCATCATAATTTAGTACATAACATCACAAAACAATCCCGCAAACACAAACTGGCTCGGCTCCCTGTTTCGTTTTGTTTTCTTACCAAAAATAAATAGTTAAACTCAACGCACTCTACCTGTTCACCTGCTGAACGCAGAACGAAGCAGATTAACGCCCAGCGCGGGCAGAAACACGCCTATTTAATGAGGGAAGAGAGGTCATGACCCGGATGACTCACCGGTCACAGCTGCGCCGAGTGGAAATGACATAACACGGAAGAAGTCGCTCGTTTCCCCTCGAGGCGAAGATAAAAGTGCTTCTCGCCTCGTTTTCCTTTCCTAACACCCTCTCTGACCCAACGCCCCTACTTCAATGTGTCCTGATTTACAGCGGAGGCTCGGCTCCCGCAGCCCGCTGGAGTTTGTGCCGAACAGCTGCGCGGCCGCAAGAGCCGAGCGGAGAGAGCGCCTCCGCTCCTTAAATCAGCTGCGGACTGACAAGATGCTTTCAAGTTAAGTCAATTCTGCGGCGAACCCTCGCAATAATCTCAAACATGAGGGGATCTCTGAACGCAGGCTCTCTGAATTACCAACTACAAAGACAAACTCTGCTGTCAGTCTGGCTGCTGGAGGAAGAGGATACAGTACATGAAGGCGACGACACCACGGTTTATATTCACAAACTACAGACACAATATATACATTTCAAATAAATTTTCTCTGTACATAAATTCTTGTTAATTATACGTTTATGACATGATTATGCTTCCCCTGATATCTGCATTATGTGGAGTCTAGGAACAGAATTAGCAACACAAACGGGAAACTAAGTCCAGGAGGTAAAGTAGATCTGGATGTCAGTTTAAGACTGAAGGAACATAAAACCAACGGAGGGTTACCCTGCTTGGCAGAGAGATAGGATTTTTGAAAATGAATTTTCAAAAGAGTGCTTTTGATTCAATTTTACAGAAAAAAAAACGATGAAGGAAAGCAGAAGAAATGATGTCCTCACTACTGGGATACGGAGTCAAAGTCCCTCCACGGGTCAGAAGGGTTGGACGGAGCCACTGAGTTGGAGTTACTGGAGTCCAGGTTGAACAAACAACCTGATGGTTAGAAAAAGAAAAAAATAAAGATTTTACAAGTGGAGCTTTGGATTTAATCATTCAAGAACAAGCAGAAACTTTCTAAAGGCAGCTGAACTGTGTGAACATTCACATTCTGGACCCACCTGAGCTAAAAGTTTCTGCACTGCAAGTGGTCTTAATTAAAATCTGACGAGCTTTTAAAGACACCGAAACATTTGCTGCCGCACAAACACAAAAGACACAAAAGCAAAAGTTTCTCTTTTTACTCTGGAATAAAACCTCAAACCAAATCATAAGCCCTTTCTTTAAACACAAATTCTTGGATGAGGACTCATTCGTAGGGAGCTCTGTTGGCTTGTTCAAATGTTTTGAGCACCAAAACCAAAATTTCCCATTGCTTTAATTCTGAACAGATGACTGCTGAGGCATCTTTAAATCTCAGCACATGAAAGCAGAAGATAAAGCTTTAAACGTAAAATGCGGTTTACAAATTTACAGCGAGGACGCATCAAGAGGCTAAACAGGATGAACAAAGCAGAACTTGTTAGATTAAAAAAACAAATAGACTGAGATCGTAATGTGTTGATTTCTGAGGAGATGAAATGTTTACAAAAACTCATTTTTAACTTCTGGGTGTAAATTACCCACCTGAGTCACTTCCTGATGGCTGTGTGTTATGATTAGTAGACCTGGATGAAGGAGGTGGGGCGAGCTTGCCCCCCGGAGGAGGAGGAAGGAGACCGAGGCCTCCTGACCCTTGTGGACGAGACCTCTCCTTTTTTTTCGATTGCTAAAAAGACACCCAGAAGATTTAAAATTGTACCCACATCCTTAATTGAAATACAATAGCTTTAACACTTAAAATAAGAAAAGTCACAAACAATATGAACAATGTTAAACGCTGAGTTTAATGGGAATATTTCTATAAATTGTGGTAGAACAAATGTTCATGAAAAAGCAAGTTTGACATTTCAGCTTAAACAATTATAATAAAAATCAAAGTACCCCAATATTTAAAGTAATGGTCTGTCCTTCTTTGAAGCCCAGGTCCAGTTTAGGAGTGGAGTCTGGAGCCTGAGCCTGCTTGGTGAATTCATTTTCCTGTTTTACCCACCTGAAACAGAAAAAGGAGACGATTAAAAAAATACAACAAGAAATCATCCATTACTCGTGTAATACAGACACAGTTGGGTGGCTGCGTACTTAAAATGGTCCTGAAGAGCAACATTGAAGTCAAATGCGTCTCCTCGATCTGCAAACCCGACGCCAATGAACGCACTTCGACCTTTGAGGGAATCAAAACAGATCGTCAGAGCAGCACCGTTCAAATGAAACATGTTAAACCTGTTTATTGAAAACACCACCACTAGTTTAAATGAATCAGATATAAAAAATAAGTTCTTACGGATTTTTCTTTCAGAATTAAGCATTTACTAAACTCAAGTTTTCAAGACTTCAGTAGATTTTGCTTGACAAGGTCAATTTCTTAGACGTTGCAGATGGTCTCTCTGGTTACTGCTACCTAAAGTATCAAACTCCCAGAAGTCGAGAACCTCACTAAAGTAGAAGAACTTCAGTGAACAAAAAGCAAGTAAACAAACAAATGATGTTTATACTGATGATTGTTTTTAACTTTTAACAGGATGAGAAAACATGTTTTGTTTCTCTTCATCAGCTTCTCATTTATCACAGCATCTATGTAGATTTATTTCCTTAATTAATTTCATTCATAAAAACTAAACCTACACTCACTGGCCACTTTATTAGGTACACCTTTCTAGTACCAGGTTGGACCCCCTTTTGTCTTCAGAACTGCCTTAATCCTTTGTGACATAGATTCAACAAGGTACTGGAAACATTCCTCAGAGTCTGGTCCATATTGACATGACAGCATCATGCAGTTACTGCAAATTTGTCAGCTGCACATCCATGATATGAATCTACCGATTGAGATCTGGTGAATGTGGAGCCATTCCAGTACAGTGAACTCATTGTCTTCAAGAAACCAGTCTGAGATGATTCATGCTTTATGACATGGAGCGTTATCCTGCTGAAAGTAGCCATCAGAAGATGGTACACTGTGGTCATAAAGGGATGGACATGGTCAGCAGATAGGCTGTGGCGTTGACACAATGCTCAATTGGTACTAAATGGACCTAAAGTGCCAGGAAAGTATCCCCCACACCATTGCACCACCACCAGCCTGAACCGTTGATACAAGGAAGGATGGATCCATGGGCCCAGTCCCAATGCTCAGTGCGCACCCTACGCCCCTCTGTGAAGTGTGGATTCAGTCGAAGTGCACATAAGTGTTCGAGTGCGCAGGTTACAAGCGTGCAAAACAATTGAGAATTGGGACAGTACGGATTACGTCATCAAACACCGGTAGTTACTGGTCGCTGTTAGGCCAAATTTCATATACACAAAAGCAAATGTTTAAAGAAAGAAACAAATTTTATCTTCTTCATGATTGAGTTTACACAATATATGCAATCTATTCACTTCTCTACTAATCAGAAGGCAAAAAAAAAATTTACAGTGTCTTGTTCACTTTTGGAAATTCCTGATTTAACTTTGTCGTGATTGGTTCTTTTTTGTGGTGTAATCATTTTATTTAATGTTTATTATTATTATTATTATTTTTATTATTATTATTATTAGACATATTTTTCCTCTTTTTTCATTTATAGTTCTTCATTTCCCCTGGCAGCATCTATTTTTGTACCATGTTCAAATGTTCAATAAAGGTTTATTAAAAAAACAGTCGCTGTTTTGGCAGCAATGAATTGTGGGTAATACACTTCACCGAAGTCCGTGAAAATGCAGACCTTGCGGAAGGGCCGAAATGGTACACAAAATGGGCGGGGCGAAGGGCGGATGTGGGGAATGTTGGACACACTACGCACTCAAACCCTTCAACATGAACGCACATTTGAAGTGCACAAGGGCGGAATGAGGGCGGAGTGTGGGTATTGGGACAGGGCCAGGCTTTCATGTTGCTGATGCCAAATTCTGACCATCTGAATGTCGCAGCAGAAATCGAGACTCATCAGACCAGGCAACGTTTTACCAATCTTCTATTGTCCAATTTTGGTGAGGCTGTGTGAATTGTAGCCTCAGTTTCCTGTTCTTTAGCTGACAGGAGTGGCACCTGGTGTGATCTTCTGCTGCTGTAGCCCATCCGCTTCAAGGTTCAACATGTTGTGCGTTCAGAAATGCTCTTCTGCAGACCTCGGTTGTATTGAGTAGTTATTTGTGTTACTTTTGCCTTTCTATCAGCTCGAACCAGTCTGGTAATTCTCCTCTGACCTCGGGCATCAACAAGGCATTTGTGCCCACAGAACTGCCGCTCACTGTATATTTTCTCTTTTCCGGACAATTCTCAGTAAACCCTAGAGATGGTTGTGGGTGAAAATCCCAGTAGATCAGCAGTTTGTGAAATACTCAGACCAGCCCGTCTGGCACCAACAACCATGCCACGTTCAAAGGCACTCAAATCACCTTTCTTCCCCATACTGATGCTCGGTTTGACCTGCAGCAGATCGTCTTGGCCATGTCTACATGCCTAAATGCATTGAGTTGCTGCCATGTCATTAACTGATTCAACATTTGCATTAATGAGCAGCTGGACAGGTGTACCTAAAGTGGCCGGTGAGTGTTTATACAGTAAAATAAAAATAATTCATGCCGAGAATAAAACGTGTGCAGAGTGAAGAAAAAAATCGTATTTCTCTGTGATCACTGCATCTAGTCTTGTTTTCTCTTTTGAAAAAATAAATAAATAAATAAAATAAACTGTGCCACTCTGCCCACAGTCGGCATGGCCAAGTCTCTTTTATACCAATATTTAGCAAAAACAACAACAATAGAGGACAAAAGCTAAGTCTGAAGGAAGCAAATGTTCAGAAGAAGAAGAAGAAATGGGAGGTGAACAACAGACATGTTTACTTTGTGTTGCACAGGTTCAAAGAAAAACCACGTCATGGCAGATGACAGCGGCAGTTAAATAGCTTTTCATTTTTACATCACACACCTGTTTTAATGGTGCTGAAAATCATTTAATTTGATCAGCCAACCAGACATGTTTTTGTATGAACCAACCACATCCCTCTGTCACTTTACGTCCCTAAAGTGGTAAAACATACACTCTGAAGCAGGAGCTTAACTCCCAATAAATCAGAATAGGACTACAAACAGCCACAATATTTAAAGGTGAACCAGCTCGTGAAGTTTTAAAAGACTGAACTGGGTCCTTGTGGTCTAAAAACACTTAGTTACACAAACACCATGACCACAGATTTAACCAGTAGACCAGTTGCCTAAACCTGTCTTAAAGGAGACATATCCTGCTTTTAAATCCTTCTTTTTCACGTTTAAATCATTCATTTGGGGTCTATATAAAAAGGAACTGCAATGCTTTGGTCTTAATTCCTCCTTGTTGCAACTCCACAAGCCCCTCTTCATGTTTCTCAGATCAACTCGTTTTGGTGCTGTCTCTTTCAATATGAAAAAGGCTCTTTACACCCAATCTCCCTCCAGGTCACATGCCTAATGATCATTATCCACTCCACCCTGTTCGGCACGAGAGGAGAATGACAAACCTGCAGAACCGCAGATTTAAGAAACTGCTTAGCCAGAAGTCCATGACCTTGTTTAGCAGTTCTGCAGCGAATACTGTGATGTAATAGTTCATAAAACCGAAAAGAATATAGAGAAAACTGAATGGGTTGAAAAATACGACCCAAACAGAATATGAAGATATTTACGCAGCACTGGGAGAAACTGAATTCAACTTTTCTGCACTGCTAGAGACTAAAATCACATCAAGTCATTTTATTTGACCTTTTCATCCAGGTTTTCTCCTCCTAAGTATGTCTTCATAAATAATCCTCTTAATTCTAACCCTTATACTTCGTGTGAAACTGACCATTTCTCTTCGCTGGCTGCAGAAGCGTCAGGAAATCCCTTTGTATAATGTTTAGTGTCATTGTGAACCTTTTCAAACACACAGCTGGAATTCCCAGTGACATCACTCCAGACCAGTAAAGATTGGTTTTTTTTAAGCAGCACTCTCCTACACAAAACTAAAATTATGAGCACAGTTCAAATATTTAAAGTGTCGCAATGAACGGTTTACTCACCGTTGTCATCTTGGATGCGAAGCACGAAGTAACGACTTGAGTCACTGACCGTTTCAACAGCAATGCCAGGGTACTCCTCGACGGGCGCTTGAGCAAACAGCTCCCCTGTGCATCAGATGATGGGTAAAACTGAGTCAGGGTAAGGTAAGAAAGCCAAAATTCAACATCATCCCAGAATAATCTGTAAACAAGAAGAGATAGAATATAATTTCTGTACACGAGGTTAAAATGAGTGTGTGTCGAAGAAAAACACACTGACGCATCCTCATCAGTCCAACATCAAGTGTTCGCTCCAACACAGACTGGATAACCTTGGATTAGATGACTAACACCAAGCAGGTGGTGAAGCAGAAGACTACACAGTGGAGTGATTTATAGCAGTGGGAGTAAACACCGGCTCTGTCTTGTCTGCTCCCCCGCCCCCCTCTCTCTCTCTCTCACCAGAGATTTTGTCCTCCAGTTTCACGTAAGCCACTTTGCCTCGCGCCGTCACACGCATGCGTCCCGTCCAGTCCGGAGCGTCCAGCTTCCAATCAGCAGCCCTGAGGAAACACAGGTGAAGCACTTAGCCGAAACAAAATGATGGGGGCAGAGAAAAAGTTGGGTGCTGTGAATTATCCCACTCAGTCTCTCTGAGTGAGCGAGCATAAATGAGCACCTTAGGCTGAAAACGTTACATAAACATCCTTACTCACTGTGGCCACTGGTTAACTAACTGTGAATCTCGTGATCATGTTCAACTGTACGAAGCTGCTGGAAATTAAAGCTGTGATATTAAGCCATTAAAATATGAAATAGTCACAATTTAAGTTTCTCGTAGATTCATTTCAAAGGAGAGCATCAGAACTGTTTAAGTGTCCTTGAGCAGGACCTCTTTAGCTTCCAGGATGCTCGATTGAAAAGGCCAGGCAGGTGAAATGACAGCAGAGATAAGAGCTTCATATTACACCTCTTTAAAGCTTTTGGCAGTGGAAATGTTAATTCTCCTTTGTCGTGTCATTAAGAACAAACAGACAGTAACAAGGACGTATCCAGTACAATTTAATCCCTGGTCAGTGGACTAAAATAACCTTCAAATAACAGACTTGGTTGTTGTTCTTATTGTTTATGTAATGACCTTGCTAAGACATAGCACAATAAGCACCCAGTCAAACAACGTCAATCTTTATTTGTGAGGCGGTGTAAACCAGCAGCTCTCCACAGATGCAGCTCAGCTTCTACTTCATCATCTTGTGGGATGCTGAGACGAGAAAAGCTAGCCTCCCTCCTCACCTGATGGCCCGGTTAGACGTCCTCGGCGGGATTCGGTAAACGTTGACTTCAGGTTTGACACACAGGACCGACTCGTACTCGAACTGACCCTCAGTCGCCATCTTGACTTTAATTTACGCCGCGCGGCCGGTGCGGTCGGAGACGACGGGCTGTTGTTGTACGTGTGTCGGTCCAGCGTTAAAAGGTTGCGTAACCGTAACTGAAGGAATACTAGCGCACAGAAAAACTGGTAAGATGCTGCGCCACTTAAACCCGTCAAAAAGTAGAAATATGATTTCCATTCAAAAACTTCCAAACTAAAAGCGTTCAACAAGCTAAACATGAGCTTAATTCATATGAAAATTTAGTGTTATTATTAGACAAAATTAGAACACTAAAATAGAAGTACTCCACTACATCGTTTTTGAGAGCGATTTATCCTTTTTAAATATTCCTCACCTAAGCGTGATTGACCAAATTGATTAAAAGGCAGGAACATCTGTGGGCACCTAAGTCCTTCACAACAGGGGTGCTTTTTTCAGTAGAACACCACGCAAAAATCAGAGTGTTGTGTTTTATTTACGAAGGAAAATGGTAAGGCTTTAAATTAAACCATTGGTTTGGTACAAAACAAGAAGATCACCAGTTCAAATCCCGGTCCAGGGACCTTTCTGGGTAGAGTTTGCATGTTCTCTCCGTGCATGTGTGGGTTCTCTCCGGCTTCCTCCCACAGACCAAAAACATGACTGTTAGGTTAATTGATAACTCTAAATTGTCCCTAGGTGTGAGTGAGAGAGTGAATGGTTGTTTGTCTCGTTTGTCTCTATGTGTGGACCTGTGATGGACTTGCGACCTGTCCAGGGTGTACCCCGCCCCTCGCACTGTGACTGCTGGATATGGGCACCAGTGACCCCCGTGACCCTGAAAAGGAAGAAGCGTGTACAGAAAATGGACGGATGGATGGGTTTGGTACAAAACGTTACTTTTTGGTTGAAATTGTAGATAATTTACACAAAGCAACAATCTATAGTGAGAATTCATTAGCCAAGTAAGGACTCTGTATCTAGATATTTTTTATTTAAATCCAGGATGTTAAATTGTTACATTTCTTGGCCGAAAAATCAAGCAAATCAACTTCATAAATTAGATGTTAACTGCATTGGTTTTCAAGGCAGTTTTTTTTATTTAATTTAATTTTATTTGTTTTTGTTTTCAAGGTTGGCCTCAGTAAGACCCACTGAATAACCCATTTGGTTTCGTGTCTGCCAATGATGTGTATAGCTAACCAAAAAGTTAGCTTAATATGCCAACTAAAAATATAGCTTAACACTAAACTGCTAAACATGTCAAATAAAAATAAATTATTAATTAATTAAAATAAAAAATAGAAGCCAACACAAAACAGCAACAAGTAAAACTGAGCAAAAACTAACTAATGGCTAAGACGACACTGTCATTCAGTCTGCATTGTGTCCTGCAGCCGAAGACTGGTGGAAATGACAAACTAACTTGATGTTAGTCAGTAAGTAGTTGGCAAAACTTAAATTAGCAGAAGCTAATTGATCTGCTAACACTTTTCAAAGTTAGACCAAAAGCGAATCTACTAAACAAAAAATTATGTTGCGTCCCAGTTGTCCTCGGAGGTCGGAATTTCAGATTTCAGAGTCGTAAATTTCAACTGGACCAGCCCCTAAAGTCATAAGTTTGAGTCAGGAAGTCATTACAACACAACCATACCTGAGACTCCAGTTTTTTTGTAGCTCTGCGTTATTTACTTTCCATTAAGTCAGTCGTACTTTTTAATCGATTAGGCAATATGTTTTAACACTGTACACTCAAAATGTTGTGAAAAATGCTTGTTGTAAGTATTGTTGCATTCTTCTGTCAGAACAAATAGAAAAGTTCTGTCCTATTATCTGACAAACTGGAACTTTTTCATCTCAGAACTGACGTCAGTCTGACTTCACAATTTTGAGTTCCGATGCAACTGGAAAACAGCAAGTTTAACTGTTAGGTGATTAGTGGAACCATGCCCACCACTGCTTCTCGCTAACATCTTGCTAACATCGCTGTTAGAAAATAACTTACTGTAGCTGAACATGAATGAGACAAATCAATATTTTGTTATTTGCACTTTTATTTTCACATCATGCTACAGAAACAGCAAGCAGCAGCTGAGCTACCTCACATTACAAGCCTTGCCTAAAGCATTTCTCAGTTTTTGCATTTCTCAGTTTTAGCAGTTGTAGTGATAAACCAATACTGACACAGCTTTCTCATTTAGGCTTAATGCAAACACCATAAGGAGGTCAGAGGTACATTTCACAGTCCAAGCAGTCTGAAGGCATCTCTTAAATCTTCTGTCTCGCAGGGCTAAGAGAGGAAAAAGAGAATCAGAACATGAGCTTACTTTTTAGATTAGTTTGTTGAAAATGGAACAGGTTAAAAGTTGTACCTGAAGGATGCGGTTGAGTTTTCTAGACAGGCGAACAGAGTTTTGGTGCAACCCATCCCAGGGCTTAAACTTGCTTTGTTTTCCTGTCACAAATGTCTGCCAGCAGTAGAAGTAGTCTAAAAAAATACAAAATCATTGTGTTTTTAAGGAGAAACATGATTAAAAATGAAAAACTTACATCCTTTTTTCATAAACACTGATTTCTGCCCTCACCTTTGTAGCTCATGACAGTGATTCGCACGCCAGCCTTTTTCAGCACTCTCAGACCCTCTCTCTCACGGCTGTCCTCCATGTCGCAGAAATAAAGACGAGCCACAAAGATCCTGAGACGGAGATTTGGCGTCTGGTTGAGGAACTGGGCCAGTCGGAATGAGCAGTTGGCACACGGGGACCAGGAGCAGAACCAGGTGATGGAGTAGCTGACCTTTCTCTCGCCAGTAACTCCATACCCCCACAAACCAGGACACAAGGCCCCCAGGTAGCGCAGAAACAACACCTAGGAAAAATTAGTAGCAGAGAGAAAAAAAAACATTTTAGTAGCCTGTCAAAAATAAATAATAAAATAAGCAAAAATTTAACTAAAATCCAAAGTAGCTAATGTTAGCTGAAAGCTAAAAGTAGTTAAATGCTAGCTAAAAGTGGCAAAAGACTATGGAACTCTAATTCAACCTGGAAAGACTCACACAAGACAGAATGAGATTTAGGAGGTTCATTGACATGACCGGACCAACAACGTTATGACATAAATGGCATTAGAGTTTGGCGCTCGGAACCCGGCTGAGGACGAGAGCGCTGAGTGAAGCTGAAATCTCATACAAGATGCTTTAAGATAGGGGTAGGAGATTTAATCCCCCCGGGGCCTGACACTGGTGGTGGAGGTCATGAAGGGATCTAGAGAAGAAGAAGTCAGCAGTTTGCGTTGAATCACTTCATCACAGACTCCCATCCTGAGCAAACGGTGGAGAGGAAAAACTCCCCGTTATCAAGAAGAAACCTCCAGCAGAACCAGGCTTAGGACAGGCGGCCATCTTCCTTGACCGGCTGGGTTGAGGGACGGGAAGAGACACAGCTGAACGTGGGAGAACCGGACCAGATGCACCCTCTCCAGAAGACGAAGGGTGGAGGAGGGGTGGAGGCAGGCCGATGGTCAGCCGGCACACAGACTGTGCGAAGGCGATGACCGGCTTTTATTTACTGGCAGACAGGAGCTGATTGGACGAAGCTGGGTTTGGGACGATTGGACACAGCTGAGCTTGAGACGAGGAGGTCTGCAGGCGCAGGCAAGGAAGACACCAGTCTTCCAGAGTTGAATTTACGTATAAACTCCATACGTGGCAAAGTCTAGCTAAAAACTAAAAATAACAAAATGGTATAAGCTATAGAACAGTGGTTCTTAACCTTTTTTGAGGCACCGAACCCACCAGTTTCGTATACGCATTCACTGAACCCTTTTTAGTGATAAATAAAATATGATTTTTTTTTTTCCAAATTCAAGACATAGGTATATGTTTTTTTTTTACTGGTGTATAAAATGAGCCGTGCATGAACATCACCTTGCTCACAGAACAAAACCAACACAATGCATGAACTCACAACAAATTACAGTATGACTTTATTCTGGCCCCCCAAAAAATGATTTGCCCCCCAAAAAATTTCAGCCCCGCAAAAATATTTTTTACTATTTTACTAATAAAAAATAAACTGGGATTTTTTTTGAAGAATTTAACATTTTTAATAACTTTTTTATTCATTTATTTTAAAGTTAATTTGTTTTTGTTTTTTTGTCGTTTTGAATCCACAAAATACTTTTTTGGGGCCAGCACTGATTGGCCAAGCAATCTCACGTGATCCTCTGCAGCAAGTGATGGCCAAGCGGGGCATGTCATCATGACTTGACACAAGTGTGTCTTTACCTCCACGGCAGAGGCTCCACCGAACCCCTGAGACCAGCTCATCGAACCCCTAGGGTTCGATCGAACCCAGATTAAGAACCACTGCTATAGAAGCTAAAAGTACTACAAGGCCAGCTTAAAATCTGCAAAATTCTAAAACAGCAATATGAGCTTAAAGTAGCAAATTGCTAACTAAAAATTAAAGTATCAAAAGGCTAGCTCAAAGTATTGAATAATTAACAAAAAAACTCAAAGTGGAAACACTTTAAAAGCTTAAAGCAGCAAATAAGGCTAGCTAGAAGTTAGCAAAATCTGGCCAAAGGTTAAAAGTAGCAGAACAGTTAGGAAGACCAAAGTAAAGCAAGTATTCTGAGACAGATTTTGACAACAATGTTTTTTGAATGAAAATTGTTTACTGAGGCATCTATGATGGCCATCTGAAATTGCAAATTATAAATTAAGAATTTAAGAATTTGTCGGTGTTCAAATTACGTGTTGGGGATTACGCTCAGCTAATACGACACCAAACTGCAGCTAAAGTTCTCTAAAAATGACAGAGTTATATTATATTACATTATATTTTTATATATCTAAATTGAAATTTTTCATATTGTTGAGTTCTGATTTGAGGATGTATATAATCATATTCAAAGGTTTAATTTTTTTATTCTTCTTCTGAAAGGTCTGTTCTTGCTCCACCTTACTCACCTCTACATGACAGCCATTGCGGTTGCGGAGATGTCCAAAGTCAAAAGATATGGAGTCTGGGCCCACTCGCCTTTTTATCACAAAGCACAGGTAAGTCTCACACCGACCTCTGGCCCAGCGCATGTTCTTGTAATGATAGATGAACTTTTTTCTGGGGAGAAGTATACTGAGACAAATGTTGAGACAAAAATTAAAAATTATTAATCAATTTAATAAAGACTTTTTTTTGTTTTATCAGTTAATGATATGTGGCAGATTAAAAGATTTGCATGATAAAGCATACTTAAAGAATATTTTTCAGATTGGACTAATAGACAAAATAACTAATTTAATCTTTTTAATGCAGCATTTTAAAAATCAGATTAATTGGCATTGAGGGTAAATATTTGTCTAATGACAATAACCTCTGCTCCGATTGTTAAAATAAGAAAAAGATTAATCTGAAACGTTAAAACCAGAAATGCATGTAAAATCTGTGGTTAGCTGATGAGCAGTGAGACGGCATCTAACATTCATTCACAAACCTTTTTCTCCATCTCAGTTTCACAGTTTTAGTGAAACCAAGACGTTCATCAGTTATTAATACTGAAACTTTGACCGCACTCTATTAAAGAATCAGATCTTACTGTCAAAGCTAAAGTAAACTCACTTTCAGATTCATTTTTTGAATTCAACAATTTGCATAAACAACTTAAGAACAAAGATAAAAAATAAATAAAAAATTCTACGAATAAACAGAAAGCATCCATTTTGCTCACCTGTCTAACTTTGTAATCATTTCAAAAGATGCGCCTAGTCACTCGTCGGGCGTGGGGATTAAATGGAGGTAAATGAGAGAGTGAAAGTGTGTGTGTGTGTGTGTATGAGAGAGTGAAAGTGTGTGTGTGTGTGTGTGTGTGTGNGTGTGTGTGTGTGTGTGTGTGTGTGTGTGTGTGTGTGTGTGTAAGGGGGTTAAAGGGAGGGAACTGAGAATCTGTACCTCCAAACATAAACATCCTGCATGAAGTAAACGCAGCTTCTGGTTGGACAGAAACACTTTTCAAAGTCGGTTTGAGGGGGCGTGAAACAAACGAGATGATTAGATGACACTGACTGGAGCGTTAATGCTTTTCTTGGTTTAGTATTTTAAATTGAAACATTTGTCCAACTGATAACTGGAATGATTTTATTATATTTTCTTTCTGTTTTTAAAGTGATAGTTCAGATTTTTCTAAGAGAAGCTCTAGGTAGCTCTTTGAAGGGCCTCCGTTCAGAGAATTAGAGTTTTTATTCAGTTAGCCTAATTTTGGCTGGATTTTGAGCTAAAGATTAGCCTGAGCAGTGCCAAGACCAAAGTGGGTACCTGAAATCTTAAAAATATTCACTTCATATCTTAATAATAGCATTCATGCAAACATTATTTTTGAAGACTTTTGCACCACTTTTCATTTCATTACATGATTATTCTTACAGAAATATGATTTCTCTGCCCCAAGCTACACGTGAAGAGCTACAGCTAGCTGCTGCTGCTGTTTATGCTCACAGATGGCCATAAACTTCCACATATTGTGAAGCTGATGACAGTCTAAAGTAGGGATGTCCCGATACCAGTTTTTCTCAAACCGAGTTCAAATACAAGTACTTTGTTAGATACCTGCTGATACCAAATACTTACTTACTTAGAACCTAAACATTACACAATAACTTTAAAAACACATTTTTGTTTTATTTATAACAAGGTGGCTCTCCTTTCTTATAGGTCTACAGTTCATCTGACTAGATCAAATCAAATACACAGCATGATATAGACTGTTGTAACATTTAAAAATAAGATTTTTATTCAACTTGTATAAATTTCTTAAACTTGAAACTGACAAACTTTTCCCTTGTAAAGTAAACACATTCAGTGGAATATTGATAGCAGTATACTGTAAGTACTGGTACCTGTATCAATCCCAAATATCGGAGCATTCTGTTTGAGTACAAGTACTTGTAAAAATATTGGTATTGGACCTGGTACCATACCAGTATGCTTATCGAGACACCACTGGTCTAAAGGTTTGTAAACTAGTGTTTGCATAAACTACAGTAAAAGTTTTGACATCTAGTCATAAGCTCATCAGTGTGGTCAGAATTAAATATTATTCCTCCAAACAGGTCATTCAAAAGACCATCTACAACAGGTAAGATATTGTTTACAACATTTCTACATAATGTTCAAAAGATCCAAAGTGTTGCCTCAATCTGGTCCTTGGTAGACTGTAATACATTTTGTTTAACGAGTAGATTATCCAACATAGATTTTAATGAATAATCTGTAAGATTAAATATCAGGAAGGGTTTGATGTTTAGTTTTTTTCTTACACAAATGTCAAAATTGGAGTCAACTGGACTTAATTTTGAAAAATCCAGTCACTTCACATCTTGGCTTTCCCAAATAATGTAAAACCTTCCAGATACCTTCTCACCTTGATTTGTTTCTTCACTGCAGCTCCTACTTTTAAATATTTCCACCTATAGGCCCCCACTTCTTCTGGGCCCCCAAAATTAGGTGAATCCATGGGCGTGCCCAGACCACAGAGGCCCTCGACACTTCTGGGTTTTCCCAAACTGTGTCAGACTGGGAGTAGAGCTGCAGTCGACCTTTTTGCCCTGCGTGTCTGCCGGACCAGGTCTGACTGGACCGGACCAGACTGGACCAGCTGACTGACCACAGTTTAGCGTGAGTATAAATCTCACTCGTAAAGCCTTTGAACCATCAGATGGGCGTCATTAGGCGGTGCCAGATCAAGCTGTGTTTTGTTTCACTTCCGTGTTTCCTTTGCTCTGTCTGGTCTCGGCGGTACTGCATGCAGGCATCCTGCTTTCCCATGACTCCCCTCACCCTCTCGTGCACTCTGCGGTTTGGGGAATTCACCGTTTCCCAGGGGTGGCTGTTTTTGGAGCTCATCTGTACGAGCGTGTCATTAACACAGTCTATATGCTATACATCATCTGGAACAAATTTCTCTTAATTCATCCTATGATTGTGCGGTGCCCCGACATTTACAGTGATTCATACGAGCCTAACATCTTACTGCATTACTCTCACAGCACTGGTGTCTCTGCACACTGAAGCTTGTCTGCATTGGTCCCTTTTTTCAGCTTCAAGGAGCTGATCAAACGCCAGACTGTACGTAACCACTTCCCATCCAGCTCTCTGGGCCCCACCGCAGCTGACCAAGGTCATCTCTCAGTCACACATCAACACTCGCATGCACTGCCTGCATGTGTGTGTGTGTGTGTGTGTGTGTGTGTGTGTGTGTGTGTGTGTGTGTGTGTGTGTGTGTGTGTGTGTGTGT